TCCCCACCGGTGAGCGGGGTGCGCGAGTGATCGGTCCGGACCGAGGTGTTGCCGCTTTTCCCGTGAAGGTTACCGGCAAGGTGTTCGCCGTGGCCACCCCTCGCGGGGCCGGTGGTCCGCACCGGGTCCCTGTGCCGCGGCCGGGGATGGCAAGAGCGGAGACACGGCCTCCGCCGCGCACGCTCTGTACCCAATCCCGTACCCTCTTTTGTGTTATTTTTTTCCTCTTCTGATAAACGGTTTCTTTCAGTCTTATTCTTTGTTTGTTTAGTCATATAATGGTCGTCACGGTGATGTACAGGGTGTAGATGACTGATTGCGTTCACGGTGTGGCAGATTGGAAAATACCCGTTTGCATAAACTTCAGATTAGACCAAGAAAGGGAGTAGACACTGGAAATAGCTGTAAGAAAGGAAGTTAAAGGAAAATAACGTGGAGTTAAAAAAACAGAACAGGTGGACTTGGCCTACAAATAAATATATTTACTGTTGCTTCTCTATGTTTCAGTTGTCTAAATACAGATAGTTTTGTAATTCAGGTGAATTTTGGCCTGTCTTCAATAGGCACTGAAGTGAACAGTCATGTTGCACCCCTCCTAGTAGACAAGGAAACTTTGTAAGACCAACCTTGAGGTACTGGGTTTCTGACAACATCTGCTTATAATTTCACATTTTTCTGTTGATTGTGTATAAATAGTGTATTATTATCAGGCAGCAGGGGAGGGAAGTTGTTACTGCTTGTGATCTTTGATAAAAATTCAGTAACCATGATACTTTTTAAGTCAACAGGATGTCTTGCTTGAAGACATCTACTCATGTGGGAAATGGAAGTAAGATAGTAATTTTGAAAGGAAGTTAGGTTCAGTCCAAAGGAAATTATTTTACTGTAGATATGTAGCTTTCAAAGAAAATCCAAGAAATTCACAGATGCCTCTGAAAGCCAACTTGTGAAAAAAACTTGACAGGTGATTAAATCATAATTTCATTTATTTCTACATACTTTACTTCATAAGCAATTATTCTACTAACAAGTAAGTAGTTCTGAGATGCTGTTTTATAGTGCAGAAGAAACTTGGGTTTTTTCTTATCTTTCACCATATTAAATCTGATAGTTATCCTAAGGGTGAAATGTGTTATGACTGCATATGTTACATGATTATTAATTATTCCTGCAGAATAAAATGTGTGTAACTATAAAATATATGTATAAGAAATGTGGTAACTGGTGAGACCACAGGGACTGAATTTTATGAACGTGTTTGGTGTTATATATTTTGCCAGATGGCATGTTGCATCATTATCATCAGTGTTATGTTTGTAAATAGTATGTAGGAAGAGTTTGGCTTTTAAGTGTCTGAAGATTCTGTTTTGTCCTTAACTTACACAAAGTCACTCACACTTTACACTTTCTAAAATTTTTACAGCTAACTTTTCTGAGCAAGTAGTTGAGTGCTTTCCATCTGATATCTCTACTAGTATATACTATGGATGCGCCTGTGTTGGAAATAGAGATGTGCATGAAATGGTTTTGAGCATAGGATGGAATCCTTCCTATAGGAATATTAAGAAATCAGTGGTAAGAATTTTCCTTTGTGTGAGATTTTTATTATGATAACTGAGTCAGGTGTTGAATTTTAATAAGATAAGCAGGATTTGATCCATAAATGAGATCTAGAAATTGTTTCCTCTTAGAAATATATCTGGTATCTGTATCATATGCTTGTATTTTGAAAACAAATTCTCTCAGTAGCCAGAAAATATGCAGCATGCAGCTGTAGGTTACTAAAGTTCATTTTCTTCTTTCTATTCCATCACTATTTAAATACTTACAAAGTAATATGGGAAACCTCGGCTGGTCCAAGGGATCGGAATGCAAGTTTAACATTGGCCTTGAGCAGATAGCCATGTATCCTTGAAGAGGCCGGAAAGTCCTGAGAAGAGCTGAGTAAACAAGATAAGGAACTGCCAGACTGCAATTAGTGGAAGCTTATCAAAGTTACAACAGAGAAAAAGTAATCCAATCATGAACTGTTGGTCTTTGGTTGAATCAATCATATATGGATACATATTCTTAAGAAAGATATAAAAGGGCTTGCTTAAACAATAAACTTTGGCTTTTGGTCCTTTGCTCATAATTTCTTGTGTGTCGTGTCCGTCTCAACAGCGACAAGTAAAAATTTAACAATTTTTCTGACATGGTGGTTGCTTATGGTGCTGATAGCTAACTAAATATAGGCTTGATAGATGCACTGAATTTACTGGTTATGAGAGTCTTAGCATGAGCTGGAACACATTATTTTTCTCTGCAATCTACATTTCAAATAAGAGATGTTGGGGCATCTTGATTTGTAATGATCTTCTTCTTATTAATTCTTCTCTTAAATGATGTCAGGTGCTGGTGCTTTTCCTGAGTTTTGCAAGGCTCTGTTTTAAACACTTTTATTTGGGTGTGAATCTCTGCTTCTAAGGTTTTAAGCATTTGAAGACTCTATAATATGCTTGTCTTACACAAATGTATACTTTTTAATATTTGCAGCTAACTTTTCTGAGCAAGTAGTCAAAAGCTTTCCATCTGATATCTCAGCTGGTATATGCTACGGGTAGGCCTGTGTTGTAGAGGGAGATGTGCATGAAATGGCTCTGAGTGGAGCCCTGTCTCAGCCTTCGCTCCTTCTTCAGTTTCATAATTCAGTTCCCATGTGAGCTGGTTGTGAAAGCTCTGCTTAAGCCAACTATTTCAATCAAAGTCTTCATAATTACTTGAGTGCATCAACTTAACAATGAAACATTAAGCTTTTTTTGTGATTTGCTGCTTTGGAAATCTTACTTGAGAGAAATGGTAAAGCGTTTCTCCTGAGTAACAGCTACACTGCTTTTTTATTTATTTATTTATTTATTTAATCAGAATACTCTGAAGTAAGTTTTCTTAAATTCTATGCAAGGTACAATTCTCCTCCCTAACATAAGCAAAAGCCCTAGCCTTTTAATCTTGCACTATATGTGCTACACTAAATGTCCCTTTAATTGGTATGTATTGGGGAGAGTTTGAATTAAGGATGCTTAACAGTACATCTTTACAGTGAGGGAAATAAAGTTCATCATAAATGCCAACTTATTTCTCTTCCTTTAGGAAACGCACATTATCCACACCTTCAAAGAAGACTTTTATGGAGAAATTCTTAGTATAGTCATAACTGGATATATTCAACTGGAAAAAAACTTTGATTCCTTAGGTCAGTATTTTAGGTCTCCCTCAAATCAGTCTGTTATTGGTCTTATTCATGCAAGTACTGTCTTTATTGTCTTTCTTTCCATAATGAGATGTTCTCTGTTAACATTTGAAATTTCAGTAAAGTTTTCATAAGCTAAAAGTACAAGTTGGTTTAATTAAAAAACTAAAACAACCCCCCCCAGAAATCCCATACCCTAACATCCTCCAGTGTGTCACACTAAAGAACTGTGTTATTGTGTCATTTGTCTGAGGAGTAATTTTAAAATCATGGGCTTGTTGTAAAAGCATCCATTTAGTCTGTTAATTTCTTTTAAAGATGCAGCTCTGTTCAAATTGAAACAGTTCATGAAACTCTTATCTACTAAAATGTCTTTTGGAACAAGGAGAAGGTTTTGTTTATAATGGTGAAAAATGCAAGTCTGGTATGTTTAAAAAATAAAAAAGGCATTTAAATAATTTTGCCTTTCAAACCTTGTGGTAATAATTGTATTCTACTTCTGTGATTTTTTGTCTGGTATTCTGTGGTACACCTAATTTTCATTTCCTATTGTGTGTTCAGAGTTCAAACCAACATTGAAATATCTCTGTTCTTACCTTTTTCAGAGGCACTCATTTCAGCTATTCAGGAAGACACTGAAGAAGCAAAAAGACAGCTAGATTTACCAGAGCATCTTAAACTCAAAGAAGACAACTTCTTTCATCTGCCAGAAGGCAAAATAGCAAAGAACCACTGAACAAACCCGTGCTGCCTTTTTTTTCCCCTTTTTTTTCTTCCTTTTCATGGAGCTTTTATGTTTGCACTGCTTTTATAGGTACTTCATTGTCATCTCTTTAGGTAACTGAGGTTGGAACCAACTATATGAGTTGATTTCAGTTTCCTTGTGCTAATTCATCTTTAACACAGTCATGCAAAAGGAGAGAAGGCTGGTTCTTAGCATAACATAAATTGTGTGTCCTAAAGTTAGCAGTTGATCAGAAATCTGAGCACATGTGGAACATGACCAAAGTTAATTGTGACCTCTCCTGACCCTAAGGCATAGATAGTTCACTTAAGTGAAGAATGCCTGTTTTTAACATACTGAATGTTATTCCAACATCATCAACTCTCTGCACCAAGTACAGAGAAGAGCCAAGGTTTTGGCTGACCAAGTAGATGGGGACAAAAATGAAAGCTTTTTGGGGATTCATGGAATAATATATCAACACTGTAGTTGGTATTGGTTATTTATTACAAGTAATTGCAAATGATCCTACTCTGAAATGTAGGGATAGATAAATGGAGTATTGTTAGAATTGATAGTAATTTGGAAAATTCATCTTAAAGTATCTGATATGTGATTCTGAATCTACTCTCTTTTTCCTCTGATAAATTTTTCTGTCTTCTACTCAGTGAGTGGAACTGGGTAAGCTACAGTGTCTTTGTAGTATTTATAATCTTTTGACGTCAGCTTGTGATGTGGCTGGAACATTTTCTGAATTTCACAATGGTTCTGTGGATATGATTCAACTGTAGTTTAGTGCATGAGCTACCGTGTACAATTTGGAATGCACAATTTCTGTAGCACAATTTTATGAATTTACTCCCTGTTCTATCCTATTCAAATCCTACTTTTTCCTCTAGAGTTGAAGAGAGTTTTAACAAGGCAGCTGTTTGGGCCTCTGTGGCAGGTGCTGTCAGGATGTTAGTTTCATATTGTTTTAACTTTCAGCCAGTATCATAGGACAATATTAGGAAAGAGGTCTTGAGCAAATCAAGGACTCATGTTTGCTCTGTAGGACTTTGGGAGAAACTTGAATTGTTCACCACTGCTGTTGATAGCAGAGATGGAGAGAATACAGAATGGGGGGGCGAGAGGGGGCAGTTTTCTATATACTTTATTTTAATGGAGAACAAAATAATTTAAAGGACTTGCTATATAACATTGGAAACTATTTCTAAAAGGTCTGTAAAATAATTGTTTTGCAAGAGTTGACAATTGGATTTTTTTTTTTTTACATTTTAAAATGAAGGGACACTTTTTTGCAAAGATTTTAGGCATTCTTGAGACTGTAATAATGTCAATCCTATATTTTAGGTTTTTTTTTTTTAAAGAATAAAAAACAGAAAGCCACACTAGTCAACTGAATATAATGTCAAGAATATATTTAAAGCATAGATTGTTCTTTATCGTTGTACTGTAGCTAAACACTTATGGCCTTCTTTAAAATTGTTTTTTTCCCCAGTAATTTCACGTGTCTATTGTGGAAACTCTGGTGCCTTAAGCTGGTTGTCCAAATAGACCTTTTCTGTATCTGGTAGTAAATTCTACTATCAAAATTTCAGTTCACTGTTTGGTTATGGAAACTGTGCTAACAATAGAGAACAGTGGCAAAGGAAAAACTTGAAAAACTGTTAGTTTGCTCTTGAATCTTAGCTGAGCTGTGATGTAATGAACTGCTCTTCATGTGTTTGTCTTGAAATTAGAGAAAATGTTGTTACATTCATTTGGCTGAGTGTATCTGTCCACATTATTCAAGAGAAAATGTTATATATCAACTCTAAGCTTAATACATAATTCCTAGCACAGTATAAACTTTACGAAGGGTTATATTTTTGTATTATGTACAAATAACTTTATTTCTGTTGATGTTGCTGCACTGTATCATTAATAAAGTGTAATTGGCAAAGTTCTACTTCTTGCAGGTTTCCTTTCCTTTGCCACATCTAGTAAAGTTAGTTGTCTGCCTTACGCAAAGCTTTGTGGGAGTGAATGCATAAAAAGCTAGTGTCCTGGTTTGAGCTAAATAGAACTAGTTTTCTATTTAGTGATTTTACTTTTCAGCTCAGTCTCTTCTAAGTGACTGAACTTGCTGAAAACTGGCAGCATGTTTTCCCAAACAGCGGTGCTAGAAGATATGCTCAAGGTCAGTTGTCTCATCCTGGGTGCTGTGTCTGCGCCTACAGGGGGAGAAGCAGACCCAAAACTGACCAACGAGGTATTCCTTCCCACATACGTCATACTCGGTATGAAGCCGAGGGATCACAAGGGTCTCGCCCTGTTTTTGCCTTTTTGCCTTTTCCACCGTTCCTTCCATCTCGACCCTTCCGTCCGTCTCAATCCTGCAGAGGCAGAGGCCTGAGCAGAATCCTGCTCATTTGTCTGCCGCTGATCCTGGTCCCTGTGTCCTGCATCCTGCTCCCACCTGCTGCTGAGTTTGGTCTGGGACTTTTCCAGTGCCCGGCTCTGCAGAGCCTTTGGTGACGTATTCGTCATTGGGGGGAAGGGTGGGGGGAGGATTTTATATTGGTTTTGTATATGTATTTGTACATATTTGTATATATTTCATTATTTTCCTATTTACAATATTATTCTGTAGTATTAGTATTATTGTTTCATTAAATCTGTTAGTTTATTTTTCCAACCTGTAAAGTTTCTCTCCCTTATTCTCTTTTCTCTTCCCTTCTGGGGAGGGGAGAGGGGTTAACAGAGAGCGTCTGTCCAGGATTTAGTGGCCGGCCCAGCCCTAAACCACGACGTTGACACCAAAGAGTAGCAAAATGTTCAGCTTTCCTAGTGTGTCTGAAAACTGGGCCTGCTCTGGGGACTTTAATTTTTGCTTTAGTCAGAACTTAAGGGAGCTACAGCCTTAGAATTTACAGCCCAAAACACATGAATCAATTTGTCTATACACCTTCAAATCTTTCTAAAACAGCTTGTTTCTTTTAGGATTTGGATGGAAGAAGTTGCATTCTTCTATGTTGTGCTTCAACTGTTAAACATTCATCTAGGTCAGGGCAAAGATTTAT